AACACTTGCACCTGTAGGTATTGTTTGTACTTTCATGTGGGATTGCCAACATTTGCACCTGTAGGTATTGTTTGTACTTTCGTGTGGGATTGCCGACACTTTCACCTGTAGGTATTGTTTGTTATTTCGTGTGGGATTGCCACCACTTGCATCTGTATGCTTTGAGTGTAGTGTACAGCATTTGTTAATTGTCATTTCGTTTCCCAATTTTTAACAGACTCTGCGGACGACGATCGAGCTATCTGGCAGCGCAATGAGCACGCCGAGAAGGTACTTATTCAACATGTGCACATATATTCTGTCTATGTAACATGTACACGTGTGTATTCTGTTTATGCAACATGTGCACATATCTAATCTTTTTAATTTAACACGTGGACATATTTAATTTGCAATAGCCGATTCGGATGTTCATTTGTAGCCAATGCCAAAGTGACGTGTACCTGGAAGCGTATATATTTTGTGCAGTGATCCCCTTACTACAATGAAAGCCTGGTACTATCACACAGGTGCACATCTGTAGCACTCCTCTTTTCTCACTTCGCCATCACTGCTTTCGCGATTTCGCAACACCATCGATCAACCAATATGCACCTTGTGTTCTGTCGCACAGATTACGTCGCATATAGTCTGTTTGGGCACTCGACACACACACACACACACCCTCCAAAACAAAATAAACGCACACACAAACACACTCCCCAAGTGTAACATTCAGTTGTGTGGATGTATTGTACTGTTTGTTTTGTCAAATCGTCTTGCTCTCTTTGGTACTTTATCTCGTTCTTGTGAAACGCTTCTGCGGCACTCATAGCCTGCGCCTTTATTCTCACACTCATACAAGTTAGTGCCATACTCGGTGTGCTATGGTCACCAGCTACCACACCCGATACCTGTCCTAAATGCAGGGCAGGTGCACCCATAGCGGCCCTGGCTTTGCCCGGTTTCTTGAGTCCACATCTCATTACAAGAACCTCTCGTGTCTCAATGGATTTTCTGAGTATACCAATGTGTCTTCTGAGATATTCAAATCCCAACTATTCACGTACAAACCAACACTGTTAAATCTCTAAAAACCCTAAAAACCTAAAACCCAACCGTCCCCTACCTCAGGCTGTGATCCGTGTGCACGAGAAACTGTGCGGCCATGTGCAGGTGGGCGATAGCACAGCCGTTCTGAGTGTACGACAACAGACACGCGACATGTTAGCTGCAGCACAGTCACCGCACAACCTTAGCTCAATGTTTGAGGGCTGGATGCCCTGGGTGTGAGATGGCAACGGGAGATGGCAACGAACTATTGACGACGAATGGAGAGCCAGACACGGGACGAGAATAAAGTTAACTACTTATAACAACGCGAGAATAAAGTTAACTACTTGCAACAACGCGAATAAAGTTAACTACTTATAACAACGCGAGAATAAATTTAACTACTTATAACAACGCGAGAACAAAGTTAACTACTTACAACAACGCGAGAATAAAGTTAACTACTTACAACAACGCGAGAATAAAGTTAACCACTTACAACAACGCGAGAATAAAGTTAACTACTTAAAACGGGATTTAGTGCATACGAGCCTATTTTTAATTTAATCTAGACCAGTGTTTTGCCTACTAGCTTGAATGGGTATCAAATACTCACCGTTCATATCGAGTCGTTAAACTTAACCCCAAGTTTGACATCAACTGCTCCATCATTACAAAACTGCACCAGATATAAATAGACAATAGTTATCAGATACATATATAGATACATGTGTGTTTGTGTGTATGTGTATACATAAATATACATACATGTGTGTTTGTGTGTATGTGTATACATAAATATATATACATGTGTGTTTGTGTGTATGTGTATACATAAATATATATACATGTATGTGTAAATGTA